GCAATAATAAAAATAAAAAGTAAAAAGAAATGTATGAACAAAAGAAAATTAAGAAGAAATTCTACCTGATATTCGTATCGTTACATAAAAAGAAAAAGTGCTGATTATTGCAGTTCAATTAACTCACGCCTATATTTCTACCAAAGAGATATAAATACGTTAGTTAACCCTAATCATTAAGCACAAAAGTCCAAGTTTTTTTCATTTTTGGCATTATAACATTTAACAAACTCGAACGTGGAGTTTAATTCAATTCCACTAAAGTTGTGTACATGACTTAGATCTCCATTTTCATTAACCTAAATTTTCTTTAGAAGGAGAAAGTATAATTAATAACCATGTAAAAAAAATAAAAAATAAAAAACATATATAGTGTTGAAAATTCATCTACAAAGCTTGATTAAAAACAGATACAAATAATTATTGCATTAAGTATAAATGTGAATAACATTTCCCTATGTACAAAACTCATCAATTTATTCATTTTTTTTTTATTTTTTTTTTTGTATTTGTAACTATTGGGTTGTTAGAAAATGAAAGAGGTTACTCAACAAAACTTTCATTTTTTTTCATCTCCTATAAGTAAGGAAAAGCCCTTGATTTCTTCATTTTTTTTTTAACACAATGAAAAAATATCATTATTTTTCTCTAACTGAAATAATTGTCTTTTTCCTTCAACTGGTATACCTTAACTAGGTTTCTTCTTTTCTTATTATTGTTGTAATCTTATCAACTTATAGTCCAATAATGATAGCTCATTCATGCATGTTGAGGTAAACAAGTCATGGTCTCATAGAAGAAAAATAATGCAAGATAAGATTTGATGACGTCAGGAATTTTCTTGTTTTAGGCCTAACTTTCATAGATTAACTTATCTAATTTGTAGTTATAAATTATATCATTTGATGAGTATTCGGGATTTTCACAAAATGATTTCCATCCTAGACAGATTAATAGTAGGTGGGTTCGGCAAAATTAGAGGTGTAAACGAGTTTGACAGGAACTTAAACTTCTAATAACAAAAATTGATCGTTTTTGAATTTTCATAGGAATTTGCTTAAGTATTTACACTTTATCAAATATAAATGAAAAGGTATAACAGTTGGGCAACTATATATAGTACATACTACAAAAGTGTAGCATTTAATAGTGTAAATTTGCATTTATATGTTTAATAAGAAAAATAAAAAAATAAAAAAAGTACGACGGATCGACCCAAAAATGAAATCACAAACATTGTTGGTAGACTATGTAACCATTAGTCAACCATGTTTTTTTTTTTTAAAAAAAAAAATGCATACTTAAATAGTTATACCATAAGATGTCATATTTTTTGTTTATATTGTAATTTAAAGTATAATATTTGAATATAAAACTATGTACAAACTTATGAAAAATATAATTGGTTAACCATTTAACAACTTAAATTTGTTAGAATATCACTTGTAAGTTGTCCCACATCGTTCATACATGGAAAATAGACACACCTTATAAGTCTAATGAGCTACTCCTCCTTCCACCAATTGATTTTGGGATGGAACCTCATTTGGGCTTCATATGGGCTTTTTCTCGTTTTTTCATGGTGCGCTCATGAACGAGGAAAAATCCATATGAAGCCCAAGTGGGATTCCATCCCAAAACCCCATTTACCATGAAGACCATGAACAGGGAAAAACCCATATGAAGCCCACTGTTCCATGGTGCGCTCATGAACGAGGAAAATCTCATATGACCCCAAAGTGGGGTTCCATCCCAAAACCCCATTTACCATGAAGACCATGAACAGGGAAAAGCCCATATGAATCCCAAGTGGGGTTCCATTCCAAAATCAATTGGTGGAAGGAGGAGTAGTCCATTAGACGTATAAGGTGAGTCTATTTTTCATGTATGGATGATGTGTTTTCCCACAGTTTCTGTCATGGAGCACTACCATGAAGCGCATTACCATGAAGACCATGAACGGGGAAAAGAGCCCAAGTGGGGTTCAATCCCAAAACTAATTGGTGAAAGGAGAAGTAGTCCATTAGACTTATAAGGTGATTCTATTTTCCATGTATGGATGATGTGGGACAACTCCAAGTGATATTCTAACAAAAAAATATCAAAGCTGAAAAAGAAATGAAGTATGAGTGTATATTGGACAGTTAAAATCTAAATTTTCCTATACATAGGTGTACTTTCTGAAGCTCCTCTAAAAGCCTAATAGCTACAAGAAAAAAGGGACATGGATTAGGTTATCTCTGTATGATTAGATGGGCTATATACTGTCCCAAGTAAAACCCAGAGTTGTTTTCAGGACCCATGAGCTATCATTCTCCATAAGTTAGTAGAAATTAAATATAAATTGAAGCCCGATATATTTAGGCCCATTTATAGGCCTACAACAGTGACCCATGCCGAAAGCTATTGACTTATCTGAACAACATAATTACTCACCAAAAAAGCATCACGTACTGTCAAGTTCAAAGAAAAGATAAATCTGCAGCAAAGTATTCATTTCATTTGTTTTAGTGTGAGCTAATTAATTAAGGAAAATTAAAAAAAAAAAAAAA